CAAATATTTCAGCTTTCGAGAAAGGATGCTGCTTATTAAAAACAGTACAATATATAACTATTATACTTCATAAGAAGAAGAAAATACTTCATAAAATATTTCTGGATAAATATTTATCTGACAAGGCAATGGAATTTTGTGTTGTAAAAATGCATATGCTTTATGGATTGTATGTTCATTTCGATTAGGATTACAGACGAAAATAAAATCAATAAATGTGCAAATAAAGAGATGGCAGACAAAAGCCAGGCAAGGTTACATTATTATTGTCACTACTGAGCAAATTTACAGGAAACTAATGTCCATCTTACATCAACTGCACATTTCTTGTTAAAGTTAACTGTAATGTACACTTAAAGAAAAAAATACATTGGTCAATCTGAGCACATTAACTTTGTATATTAAAATAAATATGAAGCTCAAAACAAAAAATGTTCAAGTCTTCCAAAATTTCATTAAAAATATAAAAGAGTGGGAACTAAATTTAAAAAAACTTGCCAATCCAAGGGCATTTACACTCTATACTGGAAACCATCTTTTCGCTCTAACTAAATGTGTGCACGTGCATGTGTACGTGAGAGAGAGAGAGAGAGAGAGAGAGAGAGAGAGAGAGAGAGAGAGAGAGAGAGAGAGAGAGAGAGAGAGAGAGAGAGAGAGAGAAAGAGAGAAGAGAGACAGAGAGAGAGAGAGAGAGAGAGAGAGAGAGAGGGAGAGAGAGAGAGAGAGAGAGAGAGAGAGAGAGAGAGAGAGAGTGTGTTTGTGTAGTTTCTAAAAATAATTAAGTTTCTGGTGGATACTTCTGGAATTAACAGTAGCAGTGCTTACACAAGAACACATTTGTACCGTTTAAAAAACAAAAACACATGGCATGCCCCTTAACAAATTTCTTTTCATCTTTCAGTATACTTAGGATTCGCTGCAGATAGAAATGTGAACTTTCTCTTCATGGTTATCGCTTCAACAAATGATTGTGACTAGCATACAGTTTTCTAGGTGAAAATAATGAGGGTGTCATGAAAGCTGTCTCAGATCAAATCTTTAGTAAGCATCATTAACAAAAACATCCAACATTTTACATTTGTCTACATTCAAGGATTTCACACTGCACCAGAGAGGGCTGCGTGATCTTGAGGTATTGTGTCCACCTCTAGTTCTAGCCGTCCTGGGTTCACGCTGAGATTTTTTCAAGTGTACTTCTAGTAATTTCCTTTGGTCTCTATGTAGTGAGATCAGACCACCGTGTTTATTGTTGAGCACGTAAACAAAATCCCTTTGCAGTTGGAAATCGAAAAGAGTAGCCTTAAGGCGCTGCCCGGGCAAAATTTGGAATTACAAATCTACCAAAAATATTTCAGGATCCTGGCCGGTGCTACAGAATCCGTGCACTGCGCTGAGCTACTTTGGACTCAGACCTGAGTTGGAAGTAGAATGCAGCACTTATGGGTTACTACCCTTGTGCCATGATGTTGATCAGTTGTTCAACCCTTAAACATGCACCAAATCTCGTACCAAAGCCCAAATACCACCAGAATCTTTTAGAAAATAACTAAACTGTCTGCTGGGGATATCAGACCCTAGTACTTGAGAATAATAGACTTGTTAAACACACTCACTAACCTCAAAGCCACAGAGCCCTGCATGAAAACAATATGATAAGAGAAAAATGTGTTGACTGGAAATACTTAAGAAAAGAGAGAGAGAGAAAGGAAATGAGAGAGCATTCTTGGCTGCCTTCTGTCATGGCACGCAAAAATAGGCCACATGCTGTTAGAACATGAAAGATATGGAGAAGCATGATCGCCCATGCCTGCTGGCAAGGCACTTGATGATGATTGTTGATGCACTAATGACAATATAGGAAAAAAAGTCATGGTAAAAACAAATGAAAGATACAAATCATCAAAAATATTTGATCCTGTTCACAGACTGAATTAAAAGAAACCAGAATAACATGAAACAAGACTAGAATGTATAGCATGCAAATAAAAATATAAATGTAACCAAATTGGTCATTAAAAAAAAAAAATATTTTTAAATTCAAAGCAGCCCCATTTTTGTACATGTAGCTATCATTTTAAGCCCCCCAAATGTTGTGAGGGTCACATCATTAGTATCAAGCTGACCCAGCTTTGGCTCTGGAACTCATTTGAGAAGGCCCTGGTTCCGACCCCTGGCCTTACCAAGTAACAAGACGACAGAGCCTTGACCACATCCGCTTTATCATACAATAGCTCACTGCCCAGAGCAGCGGCAGCAGCTAATCTATCTCGTTACCTCTCACATTTGAATGTCCTGGTCCATGATATCCTCTTGATATGGGTCTTGTCAAGTGATGCAAGCCACTCTGCGTGCAGGACACTAGTTTCAACTTTCCAAAGCATGCTCTGTAAGTCTGTTACAATCACAGCATGCTGGGCTGTGCTGCTCTCAAGCCATCAGAGAGCTGCCTCCACCTCCATACTCATACTGGATGAAGTGACACTGTATGCGAGGCTCTCTGTTTTCATGCAGTGCCGATTTACTTTTGCACTTCTCTCTACAGACCCATCAGTACATATTATGCTGCCGCCCGGGCGTGAACTTTGATTGATCAGCTCTTGCACTGCTGGCTCTGTTTGACAGACAGCCTCTGTGTGTGTGTATGTATGTATGTGTATGTTGGTATGCATGTGGATTTATGTGTGTATTGGGTGCCTATGTGTGTGTGTGTTCACGCATGAGTGTGCGCACATATTTTACCACCCATACTTTTGTTTTTGATTTGATATTCATAATATGCATATTATTACATGAACATAACATGCTTTATTGATCAAATACAACTACTGCGTGAAAGATGGGAGTTGAAAGGGCCGAATCTAAGACAGGCCTGCGTGCCTAATTTGTAACCCTTTGACAATACAGTTCGTTCATTCACCAGCCATTCTTTTTTGCCACCCTCGGTCCAAGGTAACTATCGCTCCATGCAAGTATCTTTTGCTGGGCTGCACTGTAAACCATTCTTTACCATGTGCTATCCTCTCAGTAGTATAAACAGTTCAGAGAAAAGGGGGTTAAGAATAAAAATCAGCATTTAAATATGGGCAAACTGCTGCCGCACACACAGAATGTTGTTGAATGTTGAATTAAGAATCGACATTACAGCACTCGGGACACCTCTATGAGTGCTCCATCCCTATCTTCAGCAGCAAAAGAAGAGTTGCAATTCTGATTGTACCAGAAACTGTCTGTATATCCGTCTTGACCTTCCCCTGAGTGTTGAGTATCTGCCAGATCCCCTCTCCTCAGACCGTAATGATCTACCACACGCATAAAATACTGAAAACACAGCCATGTAAAATACTGCTCTCAATAAATGATAGTAAAATTTCATGCTGACAGCCGAAACAATAAGTGAAATGATTGTGAGTTAACAAGACTTTCCTTCAATATGGACAACAACAAAAATTATTAAAAAAAAAAAAAATGGCATCAAAAACTATGACATCATTGGCACCACAAGCCAGCAAATCAAATATAGAGATTCTGTAGTTTCTTTAAAAAAAATATATTAAGGTTACAGAGCACTTATAGTTACAAAATAATGGACAAGAGAAGCAGTGAGTGGGTTCTGTAAATTCAACAACATTAAAAAAACAACTTTGTATCAGGAAAGTTTGTATGCTTTCTGTGGTTTAGAGTGAAGATTTATGAAATAATGCCTGTTACAAACATTCTTTTAAAGATATTTTCCTCAGTTCTTCTTTATACAGATGGAAAATACACTTTCAGATATTTGATCCGTTGCTCTACGGCAGACTTTCCAATTTGGAAACAAATTCACAAATGTCCTCAACCCCTCAACTTTAGAATGCAAACATTTTTGTGATTCTAATATTTATAAATTATAAAATGGTCTTCAGTATAATGTAACAAGTATAAAGTCTGCATCAAACCTTTGAGAAATGTGGACTGCTGTCTCCTGATAATGAGTTCTGGGTGCGTGAATTATTTTTTTAAAGACATGTTAATTATGCTATTTAACTCTTTCAGTCCCAAGGAACGCATCCGACGTTCATAGGTTCCTCTTGCCTAGAAGCATAGTGAACGCAAGAAGCACTGATTAAATGTTTCTCTTTACCACCCTCAGGCCTGGGACTGAAAGAGTTAAGTTTATGGTGCTCTCATCAATCTTAAAAAAAAAAAAAAACACATTACACTTCCAACGCTTCCACATAACTCTTCACTAATGTATGATTCACTTCTGAACTGGCTTTATACAGGTTTTGATAACTTTCTATCTCACTCAAATATCATTACCTTTAGTGGGCCCTAAATTAGCAGCAGATGCAATACCCTCTAACAGTATGCAAAAATCAATTATTTATTATCTGCACTGCCTACTGTCTCCATTACTCTTACATTTGACACACATAAGTTTGTTAAAATGACTGATTATCCGGGAAACAAAATAACACAATTGCTCACACATTATAACACAGATTAGCTACGATTTACACACATCCTGCTCTTGCACATTTAGGAAGAACTTAATTTCTGAAATAATAAATGTTGACAAGGAGTAAGGGAAAACAAGAAACAGTTATGAAAACTAGCTGGCAAGGAATGATTGTAATGGCGAGCAAGCTGGCAAGGAATACCAAATTTGTTTTTGCTTGTTCTATGAATAATTACGCTTTCTTAATGTGCAGTATGTGTTTTTACTGTTAATAATGTCCTTTACTGGTCTTCTGTTTCACTTAACTCTTTCAGTCCCAACAAATTAGCTGAGGCATGAATGAAGCATAATGATGACAACAAAAGCATAGGTATACTCCATCTGCAAGGTCCAACTACACAGCACTTTGTGGGTGACCTGTGTTGTCGGGTTGATTTAGTTAGCCTGACTAGACTTAACATATATAAAACATACTGACTAGTGCACTTGGGTAATATCTAGTACATAAGGTGTTTGGGACTGAAAGAGATGAAGAAATGCATGAAATGATAATTCCAGCTAGCTAAGAGTTAATTCTCAGCCTTTGTTGCTTCAGTTGTTTCTGCTGGGGCTTCTTCCTTCGTCTCCTCATCTGCTGCTGGTATATCATCACTCACTTCCTTCAACTTGTCATCCCCTTGTCCTTCCTCGGTGGCCTCCTTCTTCTCTCCTTCCTCATCTTTGACATCTCCATTTTCCTTTGCTGTCTCCTCCCCCTTTTCTTCCTTGCTTTCACCTTCTTTCTTGTCGGACGTCTCCTGAATTGTGGTGTCCCCCTCCGCTGCAGCACCAGTCCCTGGTGCACGAACCTTTTTTGGTTTTTTCACTAGACCTTTCTCAATCAACACGTTAGCCTCCTCCAAAATCGTTTCTTTGACATCCCTCGGAGTAAGGCCAAGTACTTCCTTCATCTGGTTCAAACAAAAACAGAAAAAAAGAACAATGTTTAAATTAGCTCTAATTAAATAATTAGTATCTCTGTGGCGAAGTGGCTAAGTTTTTTGCCTCATCTTCTGAAGTCTGTGAGCTCTTTCCATAGACAAGTTCATGAGTGCTTTTTAATTTTTTAGAGATCCTTCGGATTATTGCACAAGTTAGAGAGTTTGTGCTCAGTGTGATACTGACAGTAGGCAGCCAACTGTTTTGCAGAGAAAGATCAAGTCATATGGGACAAAACCAAGATGAAGTCAATCATCTCCAGTCTGACTCATAAAATAATATAACTTTGTTTTGTCACATGGCTGGTTTTACATGGTGTCCGTCTCGAGTGCTAGAGGTTCCGGGTTCAATCCCCAGTAAGGGCTAGGATTTTTTCACATGGACTTAGACTTTTAGTAATTCCCCCTGGTCTCTGAGAAGTGAGATCGGACGCCCGTGTGCATTGTTGCGCATGTAAAAAAATTCTTGGCAGTTGGAAATCAAAAAGAGTAGCCTTAGGCGCCGCCTGGGCAAAATTTGAAGTTAAAAATCTACCCAAATTATTTCAGGATCCTCGCCTGTGCACTGTGCTGAGCTTCTTCAGACTCAGACTTGAGTTAGAAGAAGAGCGAAGCACCTATGGGTTACTACCCATGTGCCACGATGTTGATCTGCTGTTCAAACGTCATATAGCATTTTTTTGTTTAAACAGTTACAGATGTGTAAATTATTATCACAGAATAAAGAATTATCGAGACATAAATGTGGCACATGCACGGGTAGAAGATTAGGACATAGCACAGAAAGTCTTTAGCATGAAGATTAGAAAAGAGAATTATTGAGTGGATAGACATAAGAATAGACTAAATTCCACAGAAATGAAAACAATCAAATAGAGGTTTTCAGAGGCTGAGAATGACAACAGAAATGAGAAAGATATAACAAAGTGACATGAAACAAGGCTGAATTCCACAGGAATGATAACAATCAAATAGAGGTTTTCAGAGGCTAAGATTGACAACAGAAATGAGAAAGATATAACAAAGTGATATGAAACAAGGCTGAATTCCACAGGAATGAAAACAATCAAATAGAGGCTTTCAGAGGCTGAGAATGACAACAGAAATGAGAAAGATAAAATAAAGTGATATGAAACAATTCTGTTACATGCAAAGACATGGCAGTCTTTTTCTTCTTCTTTTTTAAATTCATACTGAAGAGAAAAATGGAAGGCAGGTGAGCAAGATGTGATGAGAAAATGGTAGCAAGAGAACAGCAGTCAGTCAGAATGTACAGCCACAATAGAAGTCACATACAGGTTGATATCCACAAATCCGGCAACCTCTGGGCCTGAGGAGTCCCAGATTTCTGGAATTGAATTGTTGAATTTTATAACCGTTTTACTAGCTGTTATATTTATCAGAAAACAACTACTTGCACAACCGTTTCAAGGAAGAAAATTGAATACTAAATAAAAAGCAAGTGAAATTAAAATGTTCACCAACTAAAAAAAAACAGTTCTCATTATCATAATGTAGCAGGTCCTTTGCAGAGCATCGCTGTGATCACAGTCCCTGAAAAAAAAAAACTCGGTCTCTCGCCAGCTTTCCCACCTCGTGCACTTTCATATTCAAAGTGTACTGTATATGCTATGGCCATCTTCATTTTGGTCAACCCCTGCTCTTCCTTCTTGGTACATGACCTCTGCTATTATTTTTTCCATTCTTCCGTGGCTCTTAAAAATGACCAAAATATTTCAGCTTCGGAGACAAGAGGCTGTGAATTAGCCAATCTTCCTTGATGTTCAGATTTTGTAGAATTTATTTCTTCTTGTGCAGTCCCGTGAAGTAGAGGCGGCCGGCATTATGTTGACAACAACACTCTGCTTGTGCCGTTTAGTCTATAAAAATATAGGTCTAGCCCTATATGCCTAAGGGCGTGGAAAAAGTTTTTTTTACTTTTTAATTTTGTTTTTTTTTAAATTTCTTTTGTCTTTGTTCATAGCATTCTAAAAATATTCCTACAGAATTTTAATTAAATTTTAAAAAAAATCAAATCTATTGATTCTAGGTCAACTACACCGTCACTGTAGCCTGGAAATCAGAAGGAACTGGACTGCCAATTGTCAGATTGTTTATTTTTTTAAATGTCAACTTGTAGTTTTAGAGATTCATTGCCTGCTTTTTGTGGAGATGTTAATTACAATCTCCTTCTTCTGCATCCCCCTTAAAAAAAGCAGCTGGCACACTGTTGTGGTTAACAGCAAGGCTGTGATATTTACACTTTTTTTGCCAACACATTCAATTTAAAAAAAAAAAAAAACTGAAGGAGTTCCCTTTTCTGACATGCAAGGTGGAGAGGAAGGACAAATAAGGGCCCTGGAACCCACACTGGCAGCCATGTTGTTTGAAAATGAAGAAGACAGGGCAACAATACCTTTCCAGTCTGCTTTACAATTCTTTTAAACAGTCCTGGCTGGAGTTCATTACAGAATATTCACAATTTGTGACAATTTTAATTTCTTTCTTGACGGCAATTATTGCCTAATGTAGTTTTTTCCATGGACAACATAATCATTTTTTTGGGGTTTTTTTTTGTGTGTTTTGTATTTGTATTGTTTTGTTTAAATAAAAAAAAAATTTTTTTTTTAAATTATCAGTCTGAACAGGAGAGGCAAGACACTTACACTCAGACTGTTACTGGTACCATCGGAGTTGGGACACTTCACTGGCTGCTGAAGATAGGGACAGAGGGCTCATGGGAGTGTCCCGAGTGCTATGTCAGTTTTTAAATCTCAACTCAACTTTTTTTTTTTTTTTAAATAAATATATTCAGAAAAAAAGCATAAGTCTTCACTATGCCTTCTGACAGACTGGATTAGCAGTTATAATCCTTGGCATGTGTTTTAGAGAGGGACCCTATCCCTATTGTGGACAGGACCTGTAGGGTTTAGCAAATGCAATAATAGTACATAGTGAGCAACTAGGTGAGCAACTAGGCTTAGATTTCAACTGTAAGAAAACAGAAATTATGGTCATCACAAAGAAGAAGAAAATATCTCAGTGGGAAATACAGGCAAACAGCAAAATCCTTAAGCAAGTTAGTTAGTCTTTCCTCTTGTGTCGAGTGCGGCACATAGGGCAGAGGTCGTGACTCTCCATGCACGGCGGTCCGTTGCAATCCGTTGTAGGTCTTGGATGTTTGAGTGGCCCATGAGCGAGCCTTCCCTGATGATAGTTCTACGTAGGGTTTCCCTTGGTCTTCCACGAGATCTTTTCCTCTGTGGTGTCCAAATGAGGGCTTGGTAAGCAAGGGAACAGATAAAATGTTTTGGAAGCCATAACATCTGACGCAAAATGCCTTGCAAAGACAAGAACAAGAATCATCACGGGGGGAAAATGGTCTTTAGCAACAAATAAAAGACACCAATAAAAGGTTGTCAACTTTAGTGAGAAAATAAAATAAAGTGTTAAAGCGTTATACAGAGACTAGTTTTGTTTTATGCATGTCAGATATGCACAATAAGCAGACGAGCTGAAAAACATTTACTCTTAGCAGAGATGTGATTTAGGGGGGGGGGTTAGAAAAGTTTTTTCATCATTCTATGAGAAGAAATGGACTTAAGGACTTGGTGATGACTAGCAAGACTGATAAAAATGCTAGAGGTAAATATCTGGATGGCTTGGCTCTATGGACAGAGAAGAACACTGGTCTGATCCATGATTCTCCTGACTTTGTGAGGATGGCTTGGCCCTATGGGCAGAGAAGAACACAGATCTGATCCATGGTTCTACTGACTGTATGAGAGCGTGACACATAACAGCCTACATTTATTGGCATAGCACATAATGACGATGATGAAGATGAGTTGTGAAATCAAATTTCTGCCTGTTAGGAATAAATCTAAACTGTCGCAGGTTTCATACTTTTACTATTTCTCATAAAATTGTCTGCGCTGATATCAAAGTAAAAGAGACAATGATGATGATCAAAAGATAAATATCAGCACCTACCCTTGTGTTATCGAACTGGCTCTGCTTTCCGACCACTGGTAAAAATGTCTTGGCTGTTTTGTTAAAGAGACTGAGACCCCACAAGCAAACATTAGGGAGACTTATTGTGGGTATACTATAGCCTGTATGAGAATAAGAGGAAAGTCATCAACACAAGACTTTACAAACTGTATACAAAATGTGGGTGATTTGTATGAGGGAAAGTCAATAAGTCACAAATGATTGTTTAAAAAAAAAGACTCGAAGATAACCTGAAAACTATATTTATTTCACACTTATTTATTTTTCAACACAATTTCCACCAACACTGATGCACTTGTGCCATCGTTTTATCAGTCCTCCCAAACCGGCTGCATAGAACTGTGTGCTCTGTTTTCTAAACCACATTTTCACTTCACATTCAACTTCTGTGCCATTCTCGAAACGTCTCCCGCCAAGGTGGGCTTTTAGTGGACCAAAATTGTGGAAATCCCTAGGGGCTGTAAGGTAGATTTTCCGGAAATGCCCACCCTAGATGGTTAATTTTCTCCTGAGTTAACTGAGCCCTATGTGGTCTAGCATTGTCATGAAGGAGCAGTACTCTGCTAGTCAGCAGGCCTGAATGTTTTCTTTAAATTGCACATGAAGCATCAATAGTATTTTACAGTATGAATCAACATTCACATTGTCACTTCCTTTGCACTCCTTGACAATACCTGAACACTATCATCACAACCTTCCCTGCTGATGGCCTAACCTTGCATTTGTTAACACAAGGCAAAGAAAGATGTGTCCTTTGCACTGAAGCATGCTTTGATTCAGGCCTATAGTGACGCACCCATGATTTGTCCCCAGTAATAATCCTATTCAGCATGACTTCTCTTTCATCTGCGCATCGACAGAGATGTTGCAAAAACAGACCTAATCATTCATTTTGTGTTTGTCTGGGTACCCAACTTGAGCACACTTTCTTAAATTTCAATCGATCATGTTGTATGCTGAACCATGCAAGCACCCTATTGCAGCTGCTACAGAGTCACCGTTACTTGCCTTTCACCTCTAATCATCTCCTATACCCGCTGCACAGATGCATCTGCTGCTATATCAACAGGATGACCAGATCAGACTTAATAAACAATTTAACAGCGTCCTTGAGAAAAGATTTTTTTACCCAGCTATGCACCGCTTTATGGGATAAACATTTGTCAGCATAAACAAGAAGAAATTCCTTATAAATATGCACACACAAAAATGGACAACAGCATGTTGTTCTTTGAGGGTACAATCCGTTAGTATAGTCGCCATTTTGTTTCTGAGTTGCGAATGTGCATACAACACATCGCGCCTAACGAACGAAGACAATGTTGCTGTCATCTAATGACACCTTTAGAAAACCACCAACTACATTTTCTGGCATCCCATAACCATTTGTGACTTACTTATTCACTTTCCCTTGTAAATCAGCATGAAGATGCCCTAACCTACACACAGTTACCCTCACAAGAACATCCAACCACACACAGATATCCTCACAAGAACATCCAACCACACACAGCTACCCTCACAAGTACATCCAACCACACACAGCTATCCTCACAAAAACATTCAACCACACACAGCTACACTCACAAGTACATCCAACCACACACAGCTACCCTCACAAGTACATCCAACCACACACAGCTATCCTCACAAGTACATCCAACCACACACAGCTACACTCACAAGTACATCCAACAACACACAGCTACCCTCACAAGTACATCCAACCACACACAGCTATCCTCACAAGTACATCCAACCACACACAGCTACCCTCACAAGTACATCCAACCACACACAGCTATCCTCACAAGAACATTTAACCACACACAACTATCCTCACAAGTACATCCAACCACACACAGCTATCCTCACAAGAACATTCAACCACACACAACTATCCTCACAAGAACATTCAACCACACACAACTATCCTCACAAGAACATTCAACCACACACAGCTACACTCACAAGTACATCCAACCACACACAGCTATCCTCACAAGTACATCCAACTACACACAACTATCCTCACAAGAACATTTAACCACACACAGCTACACTCACAAGTACATCCAACCACACACAGCTACCCTCACAAGTACATCCAACCACACACAGCTTTCCTCACAAGTACATCCAACCACACACAGCTACCCTCACAAGTACATCCAACCACACACAGCTATCCTCACAAAAACATTCAACCACACACAGCTACACTCACAAGTACATCCAACCACACACAGCTACCCTCACAAGTACATTCAACCACACACAGCTACACTCACAAGAACATCCAACCACACACAGCTACACTCACAAGTACATCCAACCACACACAGCTACACTCACAAGTACATCCAACCACACACAGCTACACTCACAAGAACATCCAACCACACACAGCTACCCTCACAAGTACATCCAACAACACACAGCTATCCTCACAAGTACATCCAACCACACACAGCTATCCTCACAAGTACATCCAACCACACACAGCTATCCTCACAAGTACATCCAACCACACACAGCTATCCTCACAAGTACATCCAACCACACACAACTACACTCACAAGAACATCCAACCACACACACCTATCCTCATTCAACCATGTACAGACACACCCATAAAAACAATAAATTACTAAAAACTGTAAAAACCTTGAGGCTTGTACTCCTTTGCCAAGATAAGGGCAATATCTTTTAACCATAGATTGCTTCCATGAAGGATGTGACGATTTCCTGAAACAAACAACACAGATCAAACTTTACAAAAAAGGCCAGTCAGCATTTACTTGGTTTAAACAACAGTAAGAAAGTTACGAAGAATCCTAAAAAGTAGCTAGAAAAAAAACAGGATCACAAATGATATCAGGAAAGAAGTAGTGACAGAACCAGTACTTAGTTACATCAAAAGAAAACAGAACAAATGGTTCAGACATGTGTCAGGACTTCACTGGGTAGCGCACCACAGACAGCCCCATCACTCTGGCAAAACTCTGCCTTCAAAGTCTGAGTGAATGTGCCTGAGAGGCAAGGAACCAACAGTCTGCATACAAATAAGACAGATATGTAAAACAAATGTGCACACACAAATCAAATTCAGAATCAAGATCAAAGTCCAGGAGTGGATGACAACCAGAATTTTCTGCCGAATTTGTACAGCAAGTGAATGCTAAGAAGTTTTCTTTACGAGCTAATTTCTGTCTAGACATCTTCATGAAGTTTCTAATATGTCCCTAGGGTTTTCATCATTCTTCTATAAGCTACAACTCTGCAACTTCTACAAATGTTACCTAATCTACCGACGGTCATGATTCATTCGCATACATCATACTTCTTGACCACTTACCTACAACACCTTCCAGCTCCAGAGCTTTGACGTGGGCAGCAGCAACATCTCTCACATCAACCACAGAGTAACAAACTCGAGGACACCCACTGATCCCACGATCCAGCAGCAATTTCACAACCTGAAGGATATTCAGTTATTAACATTTGCAACTGTAGACAGTTACTCAGGCTCTGAAAAGCTAGTGTTTGCAATTTGAACATCTAATGACACACTAGGTATCTTTTTTGTTGTTGACATATTATCCTTTTTTTTCTTTCTTTAACTCTTTGAGTCCTAAGGAACACATCATACCTAGAAGCCCAATGAATGCATGATACCCCGATTGTATGACTCTTTTTACTACCCCCTGGGCCTGTGATGCTAACCCCCTTGGACTCGAAGAGTTAATTGTAACACACTGACTATACAAACACTATTTCTGCTAACTTAAGCTCTGAAAAACAAGTGTTTGCATTTTGAACATTCAACATGGCACTCTTTTTTCTTCTTGAAACTGACATTTTAACCTTTTTTTTTTTAAATTGTCACATACTAATTATGTGAACACTATTTCAGCAAACTGAAGCTCTAAAAAACTGAGTTAACCTGTGTTTGCATTTTGAACGTACACTTTTTTTTTTTTTTTAGATAAACATGATCTTTTTTGGTGATGTACTGAATATAATCTGTTTTGTTTGACATACTGATGTACCTTCTCTTTAACTATTTATGTGACATACAGGTTTCAGTATTAACAAATGTACCTTGAGTTATGAAAGTACTATTTATTTCAAGCATAAAGACATGATGCTTTTGCATGGTATAGACAAATAGTCCCATTTCCATGTCATAAGGACACAATAGAGATAAGTAACACCACCCCCCCCCTCCCCTACAGAGGCATAAAGGGGTCAAGTAATGAACCTTCCCCCACCTCAAGGTTATAGGGGTCAAGTAATGAGCCTTCCCCCACTATGAGGCATACAGGGGTCAAGTAATGAGCCTTCCCCCACTATGAGGCATACAGGGGTCAAGTAATGAGCCTTCCCCCACTATGAGGCATACAGGGGTCAAGTAATGAGCCTCCCCCCACTATGAGGCATACAGGGGTCAAGTAATGAGCCTTCCCCCACTATGAGGCATACAGGGGTCAAGTAATGAACCCATTTCCCGCACAACTTGAGGCATACTAAGTAATAAGAATACTGAATAATAAGAATTATTTTTGTTTTGAAATGCAGGTATAATTAGAGCATATACCAGCATTTTGTGATTAAAATTTTGTTGTTATTGTTTTTTTTTAACTGCCAATAAAAATATGTATAAATGAAATCATGTTTGACAGGAGTTGAAACCAGAAGGGTTGAACTAGATTGGCCTGCAAGCTCAATTCTTAATCCTTTGAAAATAAAATGTGTTTGTTCATAAAGATGAACAATGGGTTGAAAGGTAAGCAAGTCAGCCAGTGTGTTAACAGGATCTCAAAGCATACATGAGAGCTCACTAATGTGATAGTGTGAAGCTTGTGAGACAATTAATTCTTTCAGTCCCAATGAACCCATCATACACTCATAGGATCCTACCTAGAAGCCCAATGAATGCATCATACGCTCATAGGATCCTACAGAGAAGCTCAGTGAATGCATCATATGCTCATAGGATCTTACTAAAAATCCTAATGTACGCATCAAACGCTCAAAGGATCCTACAGAGAAGCCCAATGAATGCATCATACGCTCATAGGCCCTACTAAGAACGCCCAATGTACGCATCATACGCTCATAGGATCCTACAGAGAAGCCCAATGAATGCATCATACGCTCATAGGATCCCACTTAGAAACCCAATGAACGCATCATGCGCCGATAGGATCCTACTAAGAAGCCCAATGTACGCATCATACGCTCATAGGATCCTACAGAGAAGCCCAATGAACGCATCATACGCTCAAAGGATCCTACAGAGAAGCCCAATGAACGCTCATAGGATCCTCCTGAGAAGCCCATTATTCACTCATATCATCCTACTAAGAAGCACAATAAACACATCATACGCTCATAGGATCCTCCCTAAAAGCCCAATGAACGCATCATACGCTCATAGGATCCTCCCTAAAAGCCCAATGCACAGATTTTACCTCTTTACTACCATGTTGGCTTTAGATGTTAAACCCTCTAAGACTGAAAAAATTAAGCAAATTCTAGCAACAACAACAAACAAAAGAGGGGAGGGAAAGATGCTGGCTCTGGATAGGACACAAGCTGAGAAAATCTGATATTACAGGGTGTCCCATCAATTTCAACACATGTTACCAGCATCACTTCAGCCATGCTGATGTACACTCTACAGCAATGGAGGACACGCATCAACATGTTTTTTGAAAACAAGTGTTGTCATGTACAACATATTATATAAATAAAAATAGTTTTCATTGAAAAAAATGTTTAGTCTGCCAATATATAAAAAATCTATGGCCCACCCTATAGAACTAGAATGCCCTCGCATTAGGACTCACAGTAAAACCGGAAAGAAACCAAAAAAAAAAAAAAAAAAAAAAAAAAACTTTAAATAAGGGAAAAAAAAAAGGAATTGCAGACGGAAAAGATGCAGAAGTCTTTGTTGAGCGGAAAATGATCCTGTTTCCATCAGTATCACATAGAGCTTTCCCTGTCTAAGTTCTTCTTCGGGTTCACCAGCTGTAAACTCTGGCGGAAAGTTCTGGTTGTTCATCCACTTGTGGACTGCAGTCCTGTTTGAGAACTTGAGTGTTGCGTGTGCATCCTTTTTACAGATCTGACTCATCTTTGCAGACTGCTGTTTCCTTGCCTCTCATGCAGAAGCATTCTGACTTCAAAGGAAGCTACCAATTAGTCGACTCTTACCACATGCCTTTGGGTAGGCAGTCAGTCTATTCTTGTTGTCCCTAAAATAGGGCCCAGGAACCAGCATAGGGAGTTTAAGTTCTGAGTTCTGGGGTCCTATTTTGCATTACAAAAAAGAACAGACCCACAGACCCTGTAACAAGCAGGTCATAACAAGCGACAAGTTAAGGGTGTCTTCTTTTGAAGTCAGACTGAATCTGTCTAGAAGACAAGGAACCAGCTGTCTGCATAGAAATAAGCCAGATCTGTAAAACGGATTTACATGCAAAATTGTAATTCAGAAACAAGACCAAAGTCCAAACGTGAATGAACACCTAGGACTTTCCGCTAGAGTTTTCGGCTGTTGAAAGTGAAGAAGAAAAAGCTAAGACCATGACAATTAGGGTATAGTGGTCAGTTCCCCTCCTTGCCACCTTCCCTCCACAAATTCACGCAGAAACTACCACAGGAGTGGAACTCTGCTGCCTGCTGAAAATAGGGTTAGAGCACTTATGGAATGTCCCAAGTGCTGCAATGTCAGTTCTTAAAACTCAACTCAAGGCACATATAAACTTCTGGAAATCGACTAGTGTTCAAGGGAAAGGTGTTAGAAAGCTCAGCAAATCCCCAGTACTGGATAATGACAAATGCCATTATTCATAAATAAAAGGTGGATGGTTTGTTCCCTTTAACAGTAAGAGTATCATCTGCATCGTCCACTGAGACACACTGAAGAGAGAAGAGACAGAGAGAGACAGAAAGAGAGAGTGAGAAAGCTGAAAGATCAAGGAAAGACAAAGCAAGAGATCAATAAACTAAAAGAGGGTACAGAAAGAGAGAGAGAGAGAGAGAGAGAGAGAGAGAGAGAGAGAGAGAGAGAGAGAGAGAGAGAGAGAGAGAGAGAGAGAGAGAGAGAGAGAGAGAGAGAGAGAGGAAGAGTGAAAAACAAACAAAAACAAAGAGACAGAAAGGAAAAGCAAGGCATCAAGTCACAGACAGAGGGCAGAGTGAAAGACAAAAAAAAAGTGTAGGCAGATATTCAGAAAGAGAGAGAAAGAAAGAGAAAGAGGCACACATAAAAACACACAGAGAAAAAGACACCGAGAGAGAAAAAAGATAAACAAGACGAGTAGAATGAGTGAGAGGGTCAAATAGAAAAACAGATATACTGAGTGAGAGAGAGAGAGAAAAAGAGAGAGAGAGACAAAGAGAGAGAGAGAGAGAGAGAGAGAGAGAGAGAGAGAGAGAGAGAGAGAGAGAGAGAGAGAGAGAGAGAGAGAGAGAGAGAGAGAGAGAGAGAGAGAGAGAAAGACAGATAGAGAAAGAATTACAGAAAACATTCCTGCCAACAGATCCAGACCAAGCAACGGACTTACATCTTGCTGGGCATCCAGTAATGGTGGCCCCAGGGGTAGAGTTGGGTTCATCACACACAGATCAATCTTGTCTGCATCTGGGGACCAGAGAAACATCTAGCCTCTCAAGACAACACTCTACAGCCTAGGGTGGGATTATTGCCAAGCAAAACAAGCACACAAAGAAATGATGTCTGGTACCAAGCCTAAAATGGAATAAAAAACTGTCACTACTGTCTGTATGTACTAATTTTTAGGGCCTAAGAAATTAGGGCCACATGGCTAGTGCTGTCGCCACAAGGCAGAAAAACTCCATCATCTTAGCGGGGGTCGAACCCCGGTCTCCTGTATGAGAGCCAGACGCTGTTAACCGCTCGGCCAGCCGCTCCTCTAATAAAGAATATTTAATTCTACTTGGAAAAAAAAATCTTCTTATTCATTTCTTGTTTTACTGCCTGAGGTGTTGAAGGTGATACAGTGCTACCTTGAGTCATGATAGGCCTCTATGTAGCACCTCTCTGTCTGAGGTGTTGAATGAGATACAGTGCTACCTTGAGTCATGATAGGCCTCTATGTAGCACCTCTCTGCCTGAGGTGTGGAAGGAGATACAGTGCTACCTTGAGTCATGATAGGCCTCTATGTAGCACCTCTCTGCCTGAGGTGTTGAAGGAGATACAGTGCTACCTTGAGTCATGATAGGCCTTTCTGTAGCACCTCTCTGCCTGAGGTGTTGAAGGAGATACAGTGCTACCTTGAGTCATGATAGGCCTCTATGTAGCACCTCTCTGTCTGAGGTGTTGAAGGAGATACAGTGCTACCTTGAGTCATGATAGGCCTCTATGTAGCACCTCTCTGTCTGAGGTGTTGAAGGAGATACAGTGCTACCTTGAGTCATGATAGGCCTCTATGTAGCACCTCTCTGCCTGAGGTGTGGAAGGAGATACAGTGCTACCTTGAGTCATGAACGTCTCGAACAAATCAACCCATGAACAAAATTTCCTAACAAATTTTGACTTGACCAGCAAACAATAGCTCAGTGCACGAACGCACACATCATACTGTTATAGAGTTTCTCTGATGTTATCTATCCCTATTTGTTTTTTGGGAAGAGGGGAGAGGGATGTGGGTCACCCTCATCCCTCTATGCATGTTGTGTATACATTTTCTGGTACAGCATTGCAAGACTTTCTCTTTCAAAATGGCAAATCCTTTTATTTGCTGTCATAGTCAAATCAGCACTCTATGTAATGCAGACACATGACAATGACTAAAAGAACTCCCCTATTTTAGGAAAAACAAGAAGAGACCCACTGTCTACCCAAAAGCATGTCGTAAGAGTCGACTAATTTGGGAGCTTCCTTCGAAGTCGGAGTGCATCTGCCTGAGAGGCAAGGAACCAAAAGTCTGCATACAAATTAGTCAGATCTGTCAAGTGGATGCACGCGCATCATTTAGGTTATGGAATAGGACTGCAGTCCGGAAGTAGACGAACAACCAGAACTTTCCGCCAGAGTTTACAGCTGGTGAAAGCGAAGAAGAAGAAGAAGACTAAATGAATAAATAAATTAAAAACTGACATTATCACACTCAAGACATTCACACACCTGCTCCGCCCCCTTCTTCAGTAGTCAATTAAGTTCCAGTACTGATGGTGACAGTTGTAATCTGATTAAACATCTACATGTTTTTTCTTCTAAGTGTTGATCTTTCACAGCCACTGCTAATTCCCATCTATCTATCTATATCCACCACGTCTCTGTTGACACAGAAGACATTCACAAGGGATCTTCACTGCTGCCTGTTTACTGCTTTCTTGCAGTTTACACTTCCGTTCTATTGTCCTTTTCCAAGTTTCGTTAAATCGTCCACATCTCTGTTTTCCAACTATCCGTGCTAAAGTGTCACAAGGCATTCTGCAAACATGTTTAAGCCTTCTCCACCTTCTTCCCTCAATAATGTTTGCCGATGATAAACTTTTTAGTTTTCTCCTCAGTTCTTCACTTGTGATCTTGTTTGGTCAAAATATTCAGGTGTTCTCTTGTTTAGTCGTCGGCTCTGTGGCTAAGTCGATGCCGGGATGCCGGGTTCGATCCCAGCTGCAGGCCATGGGCCTTGCATTGGTTTTGACAGTAGTATCAAGAAAGCCGACTGTTTAGAAAGCAATGGCAAACTACTGAATGTAAATTTGCCTATAAAAACCACACTACAGCCAGGAGCTGTTGGGGTTGGTTCTGCAATGTCCTGTAAAGGATATGCAACCTTGTTTAGTCAAAATTTACAGTTCTTCACTTGTGATCTTGTTTGTTCAAAATATTCACAGGATTCTCCTTATACATTTATTCTGAAAAGTCTCCAGTTTACGGTATGTCATTCCAACAGTAATTTCCATCATTCTCGCTGCTCTTGTTCATTCTGTTCATTTGATTCCAGAATCTTCACTATGTCTGCTTTATCATTCAGCAGTTTCCCGCAAGAGGAGAGTAATCAATCAGCCTTCTCCTTACCACTAGCACCTAAATACCCCAAGCTAACAGTCCATGATAGGCTTATGATAGGAGCCTTACCAAGCTGTTGTTCGTCAATCACCAGTGATGAAGACCACTTTCATCCAAAGTAGTAATCATCAATGATTATGAGTGCAAAGGTGGCTGATTAGTCCAATATGAGTCTGGAAAGTTCTTAAGCAGTGCTGACAACAGGTGAAAGATGCAGTATGTGTGGGATCAGCGATACAGTTCTTTCTAGTCTGGCTCCATTTCTTTGCCTGTGCAACCTCCGCTGCCTGGCAGGCTGATGTGGAGGTAATGATCAATGATTATGAGTGTGAAGGTGGCTGATTAGACCAATATGAGTCTGGAAAGTTCTTGAGCAGTGCTGACAACAGGTGAAAGATGCAGTATGTGTGGGATCAGCGATACAGTTCTTTCTAGTCTGCCTCCATTTCTCTGCCTGTGCAACCTCCGCTGCCTGGCAGGCTGATGCATTATGCCTGAGAGAAGCACGCCATTCAGAACAGTCCCGTGCAGCAGCCTCCCATGTTGCTGTGTTGACGCCAAAAGAACAGACAGCGGTTTTGAGTGTCCTTATAAAACACCCATTTTTATTTTCCAAAGCAATTTCTGTGAGTAAACTACAATTACAATGAAACTGATTAAAATGTTTACCAATAAACTTAACACTCATTAACATTTCTTCATCTGTTGTCAATACCCCCTTTGTGCCGCTGAGCATCGCAGTTTAATGGATGATAGGCAGCTGAACCAGGGCATAATCGGTTGCTAGGAATGCTGTGACAGACACTGAAATCATTGTTAGCTACTCCTTCAATCCATTTTCTGTGTCTCCCACAATCTCCTGGTGTTTCCTTAAGTGAGTTACTTGCTTGTGTTTTATTACTTACATAGTTTGTAATGTTTTGTTGTTGAAAGTGAAGATATTTCAGTAGAAGATGACATCTCATTTTGTCCATTTCTGACTTTGTGAAGAGGAAAGTATAAACTGACTCCCTCTGTAACTGCTTATGTATAATTTCCTGAAGAGTACAAATTTGGATCAAAATATTGTCATGTCTTAGGATCCCACAGGTAGTCTGACTATGGAAGTTATGGCAGTCACGAGAGCAATAACATGGCTAGAGACACCGAGCTTTTCTCACGCATGCACCTTCCAGAGAAAGGCTGGGTCCGAAGACAGTGGCTGGAGTCTCTAGAGCGGTCGAGTTTGACACATATCAGTTTCATATTTGTGCCAGGGCACGCAGGAGTGCAAGGAAATGAGCAAGCTGATCAACTTAAAGGTAAAGCTACTGTGGAGGGCAGACGAGCGATGGACTATGCTGATACTCTGAATGCTCGATGAGAAGTAACACGTTTGCGAGAACCAAGTGATGACTGTGAATCTGCAACCATGACCAGACTAAAAGAACAAAATATGAAGAGTGGTGTGGGTAGACAAGAGTGATATGCAAGAAGCCAAACAAGGATACAAAATCAACACAGAACTGGTGTGGTGAGCTGCTACCCACAGTGGGATTTACTAAGGAGGGGATCCGAGCACTTATGGACTGAATGGTTCCATGTGCAACGAGGATAATCTGTCGACTAACTAACTAACTAGAACAGACACATAGATATCAAGGTACATATGATACATACACACTAAACATTTTTATTCCTAGAAGACTTTTTATAGCAGACACCCAGCAGAGGAATAACCATCACAAATAATACGTGTATGACTCCCAAAGTATAGTAGCAATGGCGTCCAGATTTATGCAGTATGTTAAAACCAAATTCTATGGTTGGAAAACACACTGCATGATGACTGAGCAAAGATCTAGTCATAATCACTTTAGGACCTAAAGAGTTAAGCAAACTGATTTGTATCAGAACTGTCCCATTTACTCTAATGGTACTACAAAAAGGGGAAAAAAAAAAGGCTCAAACCAACCTGGTAGCTCCTTGACAAAATCCCAAGCTGACTTTTCAGCCAAAATGAGAGACTTAACCAGTGGGTCCGCAGTTTCTGCATCTGCCCAGTCTGCTTCTGTGAATACTTTGTCAGTAGCAACAGTAGGGTTTGCTGAAATGCAACAATGCTGATATTATTAACCAGGCTTCATGTTTTGTTTGATTGAAATCACTTTTTTAAGTGTTTTTTTGTTGTTGTGGTTTTCTGTTGCTGTGGTAACCACAGATTTAAAAGAAACATTATCACCATCATGTGCCCTGCCAACTAGCATAGGCGCTCATGCGTCTTTACAGATCAGGGTCCGTGGTTGCCTGGAAAAGTTCTCTTGATGATATCCCTCAATGCCATTGTTTCAGCCCATCCAGCATCATCTCTCTTGGTCTGCATCTACCCTTTTCCACTGATCTTTCCAGTTGTCACGATGTTCTCCAATGTCTCTCTTCTCATTATGTGGCCAAAGAACAGTGTTTGTCTCTTTCTTACTGTTGTATATAGAGATCTACTTTTGTTAGCTTCTTTCAAGCAATCGCTGTTAGTTACTGGCCGTTTAAGGTATTTGTAACATTTATCTCAGAAACCACATCTCAGTTGCTTCCAAATTCCTGCTAATTTGTTCACTGACATTCCAAGATTCACTGCCATAAAGCAAACCAGGTTCTATGTAAAATTTTAACATTCTTTTTCTGACAATAAATGAGAGCGATTTATTAAATTAATTATTTTCTGAAATGCAGCTTTCGTTTGACCTATTCTGCCCTTAATCTTTGTCACACATTTTCCATCTGATGATATGATTGTTCTTAGATATTTGATTTTATTGAGTTATCTTTTTCATTTATTTGAGATATCACAACATGAAGTTATCTTCTTCTTTGATATAACCATTACTTTGGTTTTCTTAATATTCAATTTTCCCCAATCCAGAATTTACAAATTAGTCATCATCGATTTAAACTTCTGCCTGTTAGGCAGTAGTAGCTATCGTCATTCTGTGTCGATGCAGAAGTTCTTTAATGTCATCAATCCATCTTCTCCTAAGGTGGATTCTTCATTTCACTTCAGATCTGTTCATGTGTAGCACCTGCGTTGGTATTGTTCTAGCTGCATTCTAACTAAATGATGAAACCATTTGATTTTCTGTTTCTCAATGAATTTGCTGCATGGTGGTGTTCCTACAACAATTTCATTTCTAACTTTGTCTGGGATGGTTAACTCGGTGGCTTTTCTCAGGCATATAAATTCACAGGTGTTAATTTTACTATGTTAGCCAAGACTGGCACTGGTAGCACAGTGCTGGTATTAATATACTGTTTATAACCTGCTTCTTGGCATTAACACTTATGTCTGGATGTCTTAATAACAGTCTCCGTTGTTATATAAAAGCACTGGCTTGGGGCATCTTGTTTCTATTTCCCGATCTATTCTCCTTTCCTCCGAGAATATACTACCAAGATATTTAAATTCCTTAACTTGCTTCAGACAGGAACCATTCAACTATAAACAAATTAACTCTGCCAGTTTCAGAGACTGTTGGACCAAAAAGTGCAGATGGCACAGGCTAGCTGTAAATCACCGCATGTTACGCCGACCATCTTTCAAATGACAAAACACAGAAAAATAAGAAGACAAAGGGGAGGAGGAGAAGGAGAATAGTCCTGATAATCATTTTCTGAAGGTGGGCTCTAAGCACATGGTCCTTCCTGGTTTGAGCTTAAAGATCTTTGTTTCTGTCTAGTTTGTGCTCACTTTTAATTAACACCAGAATATTATTACAGTTTTAAACAAATTTCAGATAAAATGGCCCAAAACATTTCAGTTGCCTTTTACAATGTGCTTATTAACTGGCAGTGGATCTATTCTGTTTTTTCTGCCCCAGAAACCACACCAGCAGAGTTGTGAGGAAAAGATTGGTTACCTGATACTGCCTGGTAGGAGCTGGTCAGGTGTGAGGAGAAGATTGGTTACCTGATACTGCCTGGTAGGAGCTGGTCAGGTGTGAGGAGAAGATTGGTTACCTGATACTGCCTGGTAGGAGCTGGTCAGGTGTGAGGAGAAGATTGGTTACCTGATACTGCCTGGTAGGAGCTGGTCAGGTGTGAGGAGAAGATTGGTTACCGGATACTGCCTGGTAGGAGCTGGTCAGGTGTGAGGAGAAGATTGGTTACCTGATACTGCCTGGTAGGAGCTGGTCAGGTGTGAGGAGAAGATTGGTTACCTGATACTGCCTGGTAGGAGCTGGTCAGGTGTGAGGAGAAGATTGGTTACCGGATACTGCCTGGTAGGAGCTGGTCAGGTGTGAGGAGAAGATTGGTTACCGGATACTGCCTGGTAGGAGCTGGTCAGGTGTGAGGAGAAGATTGGTTACCTGATACTGCCTGGTAGGAGCTGGTCAGGTGTGAGGAGAAGATTGGTTACCTGATACTGCCTGGTAGGAGCTGGTCAGGTGTGAGGAGAAGATTGGTTACCTGATACTGCCTGGTAGGAGCTGGTCAGGTGTAAGGAGAAGATTGGTTACCTGATACTGCCTGGTAGGAGCTGGTCAGGTGTGTGAGGAGAAGATTGGTTACCTGATACTGCCTGGTAGGAGCTGGTCAGGTGTGAGGAGAAGATTGGTTACCTGATACTGCCTGGTAGGAGCTGGTCAGGTGTGAGGAGAAGATTGGTTACCTGATACTGCCTGGTAGGAGCTGGTCAGGTGTGAGGAGAAGATTGGTTACCTGATACTGCCTGGTAGGAGCTGGTCAGGTGTGAGGGGAAGATTGGTTACCTGATACTGCCTGGTAGGAGCTGGTCAGGTGTGAGGAGAAGATTGGTTACCTGATACTGCCTGGTAGGAGCTGGTCAGGTATGAGGAGAAGATTGGTTACCTGATACTGCCTGGTAGGAGCTGGTCAGAATGATGCGCTTGACTGTCTTGGACTGGACACTTGCTTTCAACACATTCTGTACAGCCTCTACCGCTGGCTGGACCGGGGCCTCGCCTTCTTGTGCTGCTGGCTGGGATGCGATGGGTTTGATGGCATGGATGACGTGATGCACCTCTTTCATGGCACTGGAATACATGCAGTTGAAAGCAACAAATGAAGACCTTCAAAGTTGCCTGAAACTGCTATATTAGTTTGTTACGTTATTATGAACATGACAGCTGTTGTGATGTAGTAGCCAATATGCTCATCTGACAAGACAGTGAACTGCCAGGACTGCCTGTGATTATCACTGCAGGAGATAACAAAAAGTAGGAGGGCTTGTCCATTGCACTGCAGTTTGTCCACTCTAGGACTAACACGTCAAGGATGAGAATCCTACATGCACAAATCTCAGCAAGCCCTTTTTATCTACAAGGTTATACTGAGGGGCCCCAGTGGTAATGAGGCAGCCTAAAGTCCAGACAACGCAGTAATGTGGGTTTGGTGTGAATTGGCTGGGATATCTATACTCCAATGGGGATAATGAGTCAGTCAGTCAGTAGCATGTCCATTGCAGAACCTTGCACCTATAACTACCCTCCGGAAAACTTCTCCATCACAAGCAAGATGTTCCGCGTCCAATACACCCATCTGGAGATCATCCGCCACGTCCTGCACCCATCTTCTCTTTGGCCTTCCTCTTCCTCTCTTCCCAGGCATACACCCTTCCATTACTGTTCACTACAAACTTTTGTGACATTTCAATTGACAAAAATATTTACATTTTCTGTGTTTTATGGTCTTTAATAGCCAACCTTCTTCAATATTCAGATCTTGAAGTATGGTTGCATTTGTTCTTTTCTTTACCCATGATATTTTTAGAACCGGCCTATTACATTTGTATTCAAAGGCATTTATGAGCTGTTCAGCTTGTTTAGTAATTGTCCAGGTCTCACAGACGTATGTCACAATGGGAAAGATGCATTCTCTTAGAAATAGATAATGAGTAGAAACAGATAACTCAAAAACTGCATTCAAAAAGGTCCACTTGGAAAGGAAAGGATGGAGAGAAGGAGCAAACACAGAAAAAGAAGAAACAAAAGAAGAAGAAGAATAAGAAGAAGAAATGCAGTCAGCTGATTTAGAAACACTCTCACTGACCTCTCTATTGAATCAGCTTTTGTGGGGTCAGCTTCGACAACTTCCACTTTATATTTGGCCTCCGGACATAGTTCATGTAAGAGATTAATCCTGGCCTCTTCCTCCTGCAGGGAGGTTACAGTGCCTCGAACCTGGTAGCCCTCCTCTTGGAGCTGCTTGATGATGTGAGATGAGACGAAGCTGGTTGCGTCCGTGATTAGAACAACTGAAACGATAAAGAGAAATAATTTTAACATTCTGGTAGTCTGGTCTGGTAGTCTTAGTTTGAGCTTCATAGCAAACGGGTCACCCCATCTTTGCTCCGCTCCTGTGCCAACGAAAAACACACAGAGTGTTAATCACAGTCCCTTGTGGAAAAATTGACAGACTGCTGTCTCAACATATCTAGCATACACATGCATCAAAGCATAGGGTAGCCATCCGAAGTGCTAACACAAACAGGCCGACATTAGAAATGCAGTTCATCATTGATGGTAGTAGAAGTCACCAACAGATCAGCAGTTGCCCACGCGATCAATTTTTATCACATACAGGCACCACCAACATTGCGACAACAGGTTTCGCGCCATTTTCTGAATCTACAATTCACACCACCACGTTGGTAACAGTCGAAAAAACATTCAAAATGAAATCCGCAGCTCACAGTGTCGCACCATTTTAACATTCTTCCCAGCCTGGGTCCTGGGACCCATTTTTGTGTGGAAAAAGAACAGACCCACTGCCTCCTAACATGAATGTTGTAAAAGTCAACTAATTAAAAAAAAAAGTTTTTATTTTAACAAAAATTTAAGTGGATTTAAATCCAAGACCTCTGGGGTAGCAGATGAATATGACCTTCGTATAGCAGGACACATTTTGAGATGTGATAACCATGTCACTCACTCAACACTTGTTTATTTGAGAACTCAGTATATCAGCTAGCCAATGAAACATGAGCATACTAACATGTATGAGATGAAGTCAATAAGTAAATAACAAATAGTTTATTTTAAAAAAATGAACTCAGTATATACGCTAACCAATGAAACATGAGCATACTAACATGTATGAGATGAAGTCAATAAGTAAATAACAAACAGTTGTTTAAAAACTAAAAAACTAAAAACTAACAATAACAACTTGAAAACCATTTACTTTTTACACATACACTGTCCTTTATTTTTTTCAACACAATTTCCACCAACACTGATGCAATTGTCCCACTGTTTTATCAGTTCTCCCAAACCTGCTGCATAGAACTGAATACTCTGTTTTCTAAACCACATTTTCACTTCACCTTTAAATTCTGCATCCTTGAGAAAAATTATTTACCCAGCTATGCACCGCTTTATGGGATAAACATTTGTCAGCATAAACATGAAGCCTTTCCTGATGAATGTCTTTTGCGGCAGCTCTTTAAAAAAAACATAAAACAGTACGTTGTTCTCTGAGGGTAGACTCCGAAAGTACAGTCTCCATTTTGTTTCTGGTTGCGAATGCGCATGCAACACCTTTTTCTTCTGCCTTTCTATCCCCCAATGGAGCCTAGGACCTCAACCAACTCACGCCAAGTCGTTCTATCCTTCGCCATTGCATGGAGCTCTCCCCATGTTCTCCCCATCTTTCTAACTTCATTCTCCAGCTCTCTTCTCAATGTGTTTTTTGGCTTTCCTTTATTTCTATGCCCCTGTGGGTTCCAATGCAAAGACATTCTAGTTATGCTGTTCTCCTGTTTTCTCAGTGTGTGTCCTATCCAACACCAGCGTCTTTTCCTCACCTCTTGGTCAACTGGAGCCTGTTTAGTTCTCTCCCAAAGCTCTACATTAGTTATTCTATCTTCCTTCTATTCTGCGCAGGCACCAGTTAACGAATGTTTGTAGTTTATTAGTGATTGCCTTAGTTGTTCTCCATGTTTCCGCCCCATACAAAAGTACTGATTTGACATTAGAATTAAAAATGTTTAGTTTAGTATTTCTTTTAATTTGTTTTGACCTCCACAAATTCCCTAGTGCTATGAAAGCTCCTCTTGCCTTTTGTATTCTAATTTTAATATCTCTATCAGTTCCTCCATCTTTATTTACATTACTGCCCAAATAGGTGTACGACTCCACGTCTTAGGTGCCATTAAGGGAAACCACATTACTATTTGCCTGATTTATTCTCATTATCTTTGTCTTTCCTTTATGGATTTTCAGACCAAGCTGCTGTGATCTCGCATCTAGTATATTTAATTTATCTTGCAACACCTAAAGCCACCTAATGAATGCAGACATACAATTTTATGTTGCTGTCACCTAGTGACACCTTTATAAACAATCAACTACATTTCCTGCCATCACATAACTATTTGTGACTTACTTACTGACCTCCCCTGGTATGTACCACAAAATATCTGTTTTTTCTTCTTCTGATTTTGCCCTTTACTGGGCACTGGTATATTGTTGCTTACAGCTAGACTGCGATATCTGCACTATTCAGCCCAAAAATGTAATTTCTGCAAACCCCTAATTGGTCAACATTTAAGCCATGTTTGTTCAGCAGGCAATGGGTCTGTTCTTTCTTGTCACCCAAAATTAGGGCCTTGGAATTGACATGCGAAGGATGCACAACAACATAAAAGTTATGCCAAATACAGCCATGACTGCAAATCAATCACAGCATAAAAATGAATGCACATGCTTCAGACAGCATGTAATTGACACAACAAGCATAATGACAGCCAATGTGGCAGAGGGAGAGGAGGGTAGTTATTGTGGAGAAATTGTCTGGCCTGGCAGACCTGGTTCTGAAAATCAATAGCCCATTGTATGCTTGGAGCCAGGCGGGGCAGCAGTGCAGTCATCCAGAGCCCAGCATGGGGCAGGATTACAACCAGGCAGGAAAATGTCTGCCTGACCTGCTGACAAGCCTACACTATGGTTGTAGCTAATGAGCTTGCAGCATTGCTGGGCCAGAGGCAGTGTAACAGAATGGTGTTTAGAACTGAAAATACTGAGATGATGTGTTGTAGTACAAGATACACTGTCAGTATTTAATTTCTGCTAGGTATTCTTCTTCTGCATTTGACCTTAAGAGGGTGGTTGACACACTGTGTTGTGGTTTACAGCTAGGCTGTGATATCTAGGCTTTTTGCCCAAACAAATCTAATTTCAGTAACACCCTAATTAATCGCCTGAAAAACACAAGTTAACTGACAAGGTTGTATGGGCACAGTGGGTGAATTCTTTTTTCTTCCCAAAACAAGGCCATAGAACTCACACTGGGAATGCTGGATCAATACTTGTCAATATATGAATGCAAAGGTCTAACCAGTTAATAAACAGTAAACAAATCTATTATGGCCTTAGAGATGTGGTTTTAGAGAAGAATATTTAAAACAGTTTTTACAGCCAGAATGACTAAGAAGCAAGGGCATGAAGAAAACTTATTACAATCATCAGAGTTATTTATAAGTTCTGTAGCCACATTAAACAAGTGTGGATCTTACACTGTACCATCAGAGTATGTGGATCTTACACTGTATCATCAGTCTATGTGGATCTTACACTGTACCCTCAGTCTATGCGGATCTTACACTGTACCATCAGTCTATGTGGATCTTACACTGTACCCTCAGTCTATGCGGATCTTACACTGTACCATCAGTCTATGTGGATCTTACACTGTATCATCAGTCTATGTGGATCTTACACTGTATCATCAGTCTATGTGGATCTTACACTGTATCATCAGTCTATGTGGATCTTACACTGTACCATCAGTCTATGTGGATCTTACACTGTACCATCAGTCTATGTGGATCTTACACTGTATCATCAGTCTATGTGGATCTTACACTGTATCATCAGTCTATGTGGATCTTACACTGTATCATCAGTCTATGTGGATCTTACACTGTACCCTCAGTCTATGTGGATCTTACACTGTACCATCAGTCTATGTGGATCTTACACTGTACCATCAGTCTATGTGGATCTTACACTGTACCATCAGTCTATGTGGATCTTACACTGTACCATCAGTCTATGTGGATCTTACACTGTACCATCAGTCTATGTGGATCGTACACTGTATCATCAGTCTATGTGGATCTTACACTGTACCATCAGTCTATGTGGATCTTACACTGTACCATCAGTCTATGTGGATCTTACACTGTATCATCAGTCTATGTGGATCTTACACTGTACCATCAGTCTGCTCAAATGACCACTGACTATCAGTCTATGAGGTCAAAATGGATGCTACGCACAGTCAATGTTTATAGTTCTGGATCACTGTTTATAGTTATGGCAAATGTTTAGCCTCTGACAGATAGTGGTCGTTGCATTTTCCTCCATCTGTAGACTGAAAGGATATCGTTTTGTTACCTAGCTGAGTTGAGTGCACGGCATGACACTGTGAGCTGCAGATTTTATTTTAAATGTTTTTTGACTGTGACCAACATGTTATTGTGCACAATTGGTGGTGCCTTATGTGATTAAACTTGATCACATGTGCAACTGCTGATCTGTTTGTGACTGCTCCTTACATTGCTGATGAACTGCATTTCTAATGTTGGACTGTTTTTGTTAGCACTTCTGATGGCTGCCTTTTGCATTTAATGTGTGTAGACATTGTGTATGCTGGTGGACATGCTGAGACTGCAATCTGTGTCAATTTTTCCACAATTGACAGTCATTGATATTCTGTGTGTTTTTCGCTGGCACAGGAGCAGAGCAGCTATGGGGTGACCCATTTGCTATGAAGCTGAAACTAGGATTACAAAATTACAAGTCTATGAGGATCAAGCACTGTACCATCATCTGCTTAACTGACCACTGACTAACAGTCTATGTTGATCCTATACTGTACCATCAGTCTGCTCAACTGACCACTGGTCTATACTGGTCCTATACTGTACAATCAGTCTGCTTAACTGACCACCAGTCTATGTTGGTCCTACACTGTGCCATCAGTCTGCTCAACTGACCACTGGTCTATGCTGGTCCTACACTTTACCATCAGTCTGCTTAACCTACCACCAGTCTATGTTGATCCTATACTGTACCATTAGTCTGCTCAACTGACCACCGGACTATGTTGGTCCTATACTGTACCATCAGTCTGATTAACTGACCACCGTTCTTTGTTGGTCCTACACTGCACCATCAGTCTGCTCAATTGACCACCAATCTATGTGTGTCTAATACTAGGCATTGCTCAACAAAGGCAGCTGAATGAGACACTTTTACTGTTGCTTAAGTGTTATGACATTCACCACTGGCTGACTCAGAGCTGGTTTGATTCTTAACTCTTTGAGTCCCAAGGAACGCATCATACGTTCATAGGTTCCTACCTTAAAGCCCAATGATGCAACAATTTTTGCAACTCTCTTTATTACCCCTTGGGCCTGTGATGCTTAACCCCCTGGGACTCAAAGAGTTAAAGTAGTTTTCTCTCTCCCCCCCCCCCCCCCCCACAAAAATAATAAAAAGAAGATGTACTCTAACTACGTTAGACCTACTAGAAATGGAATTCTTTTAATATAAAACGATATAACCTGTAAAAATTAAAAGAGAAAACACTAGACTAGAAACTCTTTTACTGCTCTTTATACACCACATTTTAGGGTCATAAAAGCCAGAGGGGTTAACTAGGCGAGGGGAGGCATTTCTTTTCAAATACACAAGAATACCCAAATATGATAATATGTAATGCTATATTGTGAAGCCTACCTAGACCCACCATGATGAAGGTTAAGACATTCGGGCATGATTCAGAAAATAGATTTTTAAAAGCCCCTCCTAATGATCATAAATTACTCAGTGAGCAAGTTTCTAAAACTCCCAAGTCCACTCTGGCATTACAGCATCCAAATTTACAATTGAATTTATATTCTTTCACAAACAGCAACAACAACAACAAAGAAAACTCTGACGACTATAAAAATAATATAAAACTTTCAAACACATAAAAAAAAATGAACACATCACGCCACTGACTCAGTCCAAGCACGGCTATCACCAGTTATGTTAATTGACACCGGCTTGTGAGTACAGCTTCTCTTTTCTTGCTCACCCCGCCGGCTTTCGACTTTTCCTAAAGTATTATCCCCAAAACACGACATATACAACATATTAAACTCATCTGAAATATGCTGTGCAAAATTACATTACTAAGTATTAATAACACGGCTAGAAAAGGCTATAGATAATGAGAACGAACTACAGCACTGTCTGCTGTCAGAACGGTTCCGCTGCCATACTGACAGTTCCAGTCATGGCCATGCCCCATCACTTTAGAACCACCGCCTTTTTTTTTTTTTTTTGTCGTCGGTTAGCTGATGAATTGTGCTCCACTTTATGCATAGAAAACAACTTCAAATGTTACTGTAAAGACGGAGAAAGAAACAAAAAACATATACTTACACGATGCCATGACTGCAAAACTTGCTTTTCTCTGTGCGTCTACCGGCCTTCAAAGTTCGCCTCTCTCCGGCACCAGACGTGACCTACTTTCTGGGAGGCTGGCAGTGGCCAGGTCCTTGTCCGCTTTGTCGACATAATGAGAAAGGAATTCTCCTTCGCAGTGGTTCCCAGTCAGTGGTCGGCGGACCCCGTGTTAGCATTTAGAAAGGAAGAAAATAACTTTTCTTCTTGAACAACACTTTTGAAAAGTAGGAGATCTGTGCAGAATCGTTGCAAAGGGGCGTTCGGAGAGTGCAGACCGCACCGAGTGTCATGTGGGGTGGGGGAGGGGGTGGGTGAGGGGGACTGGAGGTTTTGTTTAACACAATGGCAAAACTGTGTTTTTAACACAAAAAATATTTGTCAGTGTCACTATGTTTGTTTGTTTGTGTGTGTATGTGTGTGCTTTTTGTATGTGTGTGTGTGTGGATGGATGGGAGGAAGAGATTGACAGTAAATTTTCACACTGGGCACCATCTGACTTTACAATGTTACAGGGTCTGTCGCCTTCAATAACTAGAGGGATCCTTTGGTTTTATTTAATTGACACCACTGCTCTAACGTCAGGCTGCTCAAATAACAAGAACATTGGGTAGCATTGATTTACGACTGTAATAGTAGTAGTAGCAGCAGCAGCAGCAGCAGCAGCAACAGCAGCAGTAGTAGTAGTAGTAGTAGTAGTAGTAGTAGTAGTAGTAGTAGTAGTAGTAGTAGTAGTAGTAGTATCAGTAGTAGTAGTAGTAGTATTTTTTTTCACTAGTTTTCAAATCGGACTGTGAAGGGTATTTTGTTTTATTTTTATTGCTACCGGAAGGGAATAGTCACGCGGCGACCCATCGTCAGTTACGTAGCACCCTCGATTAACGACTTACGGCTAAATTTGGTAGTTTGCCATGGTTCTCTAAACTGCCAAACTTTCAGCCTGTTATTGAAACCAACATAGAACGATCTTCTGCTAAACAGCTACGCTGTCCCTCCACCCCCAACCACACATATAAGTAGTTTTATTTTACAAGCTTTTATTGGTAACGGATTCTTTCAAGTATAGCCGTGTGGGGTCCCTGGCCCATTGTTAGGAAAACAAGAACCCAGCCACTGCCTTTGTAAAGGCATGTCATAAAAGTAGACTATCTGGTGACTTTCTTCGAAGTCGGAGTGCATCTGCAGAAAGCAAGGAACCAACAATCTGCATACATATTAGTCAGGTTATGTAACAAGACTAATGTCTAGAGGTGGACGTTCAACTAAAGCTTTCCGCCGGATTTTATAGAAGCTGAATACGAAGAAGAAAAGAAGAGGAGGATTTCAAATATGGCTATCCTCCTAATAACGGTCCCAAATTATCGAGGCTGAAAATATTCCTTAACAGGGCCTCAGTCACATGTAAATTGCGCACTTCCGGCGACTACCGCCACCGCCGAAAGTATCTCCCGTGCGGCGTGGAGATTGGCTAAACTAGAAGGCTGGCTGGGACTAACAAGCGTAACGGCGTGGGAGATATTCTCGGCGGTGGCGGTAGTCGCAGGAAGTCCTCATTTAAGTCGCCGGAAGTGCGCACTTACATGTAACTGAGGCCCTGTTAGGGTCTATTTTCGGTCACGATAATTTAGGACCGAAATTCGGAGGGTAGCTTCCAATATTGTTACATTAATTTACATTTAAGCACATGAATAATAATCAGAGCTCTGTTAAGGTAGGTACCAGATAGCTTCCCAAGCCAGAAAGGTCAGGGATATAGAACAGACAATGAGAGACACCCTGGTACTCCATGCTGCTGGGGGGGGGGGGGGGGGGGGGTGTAGAAGCGTGGGGCCAACTCTCCCATCTTTGTTAAACTCCACTTCGCAACGAAACAGATATTTATGCCTCCAGTTGGGTGCGAATTTCAACAGACAGCAAAAAGAACAAAAGATTCGATTAAAATTAGGCAGAAACCGCCAAACGAAAATTAAAAAATAAAAATGACCAGGCAAATGTGGCCAAATGATATTTAAAATGTCTGTGCAGTCTCCACAACGAAAGTTGACTTCAAGATACCACTACTGGCTTTGGGAAGTACAACGCTGTGAGGCTCCACGATCGTGGAAAACGATTTCACATCGTGATTGTAACTGACTCAGAAAGCCTACTAAGGACGATCAGGACAGGCATGCTTCGTGCAGAGTGGCATACTTCGCTGCGGAGGCCACGGGTGATGTGTATTGTCTGGATCTTTTCACTGAGCTACGCCGGTGTTTTGGGAAATGAACAGGCGGACAGACTGGCTAGCTCTGCACAACTTGGTGGAATACTGATACATGATAAGGCAGACGTGGTTAGTGCCTTGTGGTAGATAGAGCTTGTGCAGTTCAAAGGAGCAGACGGATCACCACAGTCTGATGAGATTGATGCAGGGGGATTAACGAGATGCTCGAGGCTCAAAGAAAAGGCAAGACGGATGTTTAATCAGAATACTACTGGCACCATTAGTATCGGAACTCTTCACTGGCTGCTGAAAATTGTTACGGTGCGCTTACGGAAATACCCCGAGTGCTGTGATGTAGGTTCTCGAATCAAATCAAATCACTTCCACGAAACGACTCTTGTACCAGTGTCCGAACACTAGGACTTTTCATTGTGTGTGTGGACCGGCTACTTCACCAAAGGCAGCACAACTACAAGAACACATCAATAGACTACGCTCAGAAGGCGACAGCTATGATATAAAGATCAAAGTAGACAAAACTGAAGTGATGACATTCTCCATTAAAAGAAGAGCCTCCAATATCAAAATTGATGAATACCAGTTAAAGATGTCAAAGGATTTTACATATCTTGGCAGAACTTTTTTCCGAAGACCTAAGAATTAATACAGAAATCCAACAAAGATGCAATAAAGCCAATAAAGCTTTTGACCAAATGGCACCAATATTAAAATGCAAGGATATGAATATGAACACTAAAAGAAAACTGTTCAACACAATATTCTTACCATCGTCTTATCAATGTCAAACATGGACACAGACTTCATAAGGCAGAGTGAAAAAGTCACGACAAAAATGAAGTATTATTTTAAGTGTAATGAGAAAAGATCGACTTGGGAACGATGATATCAGGAGAAGAGTCGGCACATAACCAGTACTGAACTTTATAGGTAGACAACAAATCAAATGGTTTGGCCATGTAACAAGACTGGCAGCAGACAGGGTACCACAGAGAGCAATGTTATACAGATACAACGGTAACTGCCCAAAGGTCAACCACGCAGAATATGGACTGCAGAAATATCAGGCATACTGAAAAGTACTTTATACAAATCGAACAAAAGGGACAGTTCCAGAGATATTTTCCTGCCCTGAAGGCATTTCACAAATAAGACAAGAACGAATTCTCGAACTCAGAATCACAAAACTGTTAACCACGTTCACTAACTTCTAAGCAAACGAGCCAACGATATTATCAACATTCTAAAGGAAAGATATTTTGCAAAATGTAATCCGTTGTAACGAAGTCGGTCCTCTCGACTTTAACTTTTACTTTAATTTACTTACACAAATAAGCTCTCTCTCTCTCTCTCTCTCTCTCTCTCTCTCTCTCTCTCTCTCTCTCTCTCTCTTTCTCTCTCTCTCTCTCTCTCTCTCTCTCTCTCTCACACACACACACACGCATACTCACACAAGTGGCACATCTTACAACTGCCGTATATATTTGTCCTTTGCGTGTGCTATTTTTCTGGGACTGACAAACTTTTCATTAGTTTTCAAATGGGCCAGGAAAAGACATTTTGTGTGATTGCCACCGGCACAGAAACGGAGCAGTTTTTGGCCGACAGCCTGCAAACGACTAACGACTCTCACAAGTACTGGCACATGCACTCTAAGGTTCAAATCCACATCAAAGCAGATTTTTAATAATGACAATTGCTCCCAGGATGACACCCCGAAACAGGTTTCAAGAAAATTCCATAGGAAACTAAGTCTGCCGGCATGATATCCACGAAGGCAGACAGAAGACATCGAACATGCTTTGGTTATGGAAGCACATAGGGCTGGAGAATTGTCTAGAGGCAAACTTTCATCAGGACTGCAATGACGAGACCGATGTTCTGTCAAGAATTTGACTGTAGGTGACTGCATCCCTGGTATAGCCAGGACTTTTTTCTGATGGGTGCTCATATTTTTAGTGCTGCTATAGTTGACACCTTGTGGCGAGTACCGGTAAATTTTTAGACACTTTGTGATGACTACATGCACATTTTATACACTTTCTGGCGAGTACCGGCACATTTTTAGACATTTTTGGCGACTAAAGGCACATTTTAAAGACGTTTTGAGGCGAGTAACATTACATTCATAGACACTTTTGTGGCGTGCAATAGCATATTTTTTGATATTTTGTAACAAATACCTGCACATTTTTAGACAGTAAATGGCGAGTACCGGCACATTTTTTTAGACCCCTTGATGCGAGGATCGGCACATTTCAAGACACTTTGTAGCGACTAACTGCGCATTTGTAGGCACTTTCTGGCGAGTACATGTACATTTTAGACACTTTAGGACGAGAACCGGCACAATTTTAGACACATTCTGACATATACTGTTACATTTGTAGACACTCTTGAGCCTGCACATTTTCAGACATTTCGTGGCGATTACCGCTTTCAGTTTTAGATACTTTGTGGCGAGTACCGACCCATTTTTAGACACTTTATGGGAAATACCGGCCCATTTTTAGACACTTTGTAATGAGTTCCAGCAACTTCTTCCATCCGTAGACTCGGAAGCTCTGAATGTAGCTATTCCACAGATAGATTAAAATTTGTACCCTTATTCTTATCGTAGTCATCTCCCCTCTGCCAGTCTGGCATGTCTGAAACCGAGGCTGGACTTAATTGATAGTGTCGCTGCTTGAACAGACGGCCCGCCGTGGAATGGTTGGAATTTGCGCTGTTTGTCGACCGGCTTGTCTCTAACGCCCCCTGAAACAATT